GTGTGGTTCTCCTGTAATCCCAGTGCTTTCAGAGGCCAAGGCAGGTGGATCACTCGAGCTCAGGAGTTCAAGACCAGCCTGGGGATTATGGGAGGCTGAGGTGGGCAGATCAGTTGAGCCCAGGAATTAGAGACCAGGCCAGCCAATATGGTGAAGGCTTGTCTCTACTAAATATACAAAAAAATTAGCTGGACATGGTGGTGCATATCTGTAGTTACTGAGAAGGCTGAGGCACAAGAGTCGCTTGAACCTGGGAGGCTGAGGTTGCAGTGAGCTGAGACTGTACCACTGCACTCCAGCCTGGCAACAGAGCAAGACTCTGTTTCAGAAAAATAAAGTAATACATACACTTGGTTAAAAAATTGATAATATGGAAATATATAAAAGTGAACTTCTTCCTTTTATTCAAAAAGACTAGTCCTCTCTGGAAGTAACCACTCTTAACAGGTTTTTGCATGTTGTTCCAGAAAACTTCGCATGCACAAAGCAACATAGGTGTCCTTATAGAAAATATTATCAGCTGGGCACGGTGGCTCATGCCTATAATCCCAACACTTGGGAAGCCGAAGTGGGTCTATCACCTGCGTTCAGGAGTTCTGTGACCAGCCTGACCAACATAGTGAAACTCTGTCTCTACTAAAATTATAAAAATTAGCTGGCACATACCTGTAGTCCCAGCTACTTAGGAGGCTAAGACACAAGAATCAATTGAACCCGGGAGGTGGAGGTTGTAGTGAGCCAAGATCATGCCACTGTACTCCAGCCGGGGTGACAGAGTGAGACTCTGTCTCAAAAAAAAAAAAAAAAAGAAAATATTATCAAATAGGTTCACACTTTGCTAGGGTTTTTGTTTTGTTTTGACTAAAACGCTGCTTCTCTTACTGTATTTGAACAATACGTATTGTTGGACATTTCTGGTGTTTTCAGTTTTGAATCTCCACATCGCCCTGGAATGAGCACTTCATTTGCATGTCATCTTGTAATTGTGTATATGTACCTTGGATGTACCTTTTACAGATTGTTGGTGGAGGGACAGTGTTTTTCGAGGAAGGTGGTACTGATGTCAACACCTGGCTGCCTCGAGAGTACAGCGCCACGTTTCCCACCCCCTTGCCAACCACAGGATTATGCTGAAAATAAAAATCTTTACCAATTTCATAGGCAAAACATGGGGTCTCAGCATTTTAGCCTGCGTCTCTGAGTATGAATGAGGCTGAACATGAAATGAGCTTTTTTTCCTTTCAGAAGCCCCTGAATGTGACAGTGATCCGCAGCGGGGAGAAGCAACAGCTTAGACTTGTTCCGACACGCTGGGCAGGAAAAGGACTGCTGGGGTAAAGTATCTGTTTCTGCTTATTCTCACTGGGGCATCATTTGAGTGTTTGTTAAACATGAAGTTGGAGGGGAAGGCTGGGCAGACATTGGGGAATAATGGGAATCCCCAGTTTGCATGGAAACTGCAGATTAATCCTCATACTAGGAACCAGACTACAGCTATAGAAGCAGAGGGAGCCCCAGTGTCTGTTCCATCTGTCCTGGGAGTCTCTCTAGTTCATTCAGGAACTGGGCATTTGATTTTTTTTTTTTTTTTTTCAGACAGAATCTTACTCTGTTGACAGGCTGGAGTGCAGTGGCATGATCTCGGCTCACTGTGGCCTCTGCCTCCTGGGTTCAAGCGATTCTCCTGCCTCAGCCTCCCGAGTAGCTGGGACTACAGGCATGCGCCACTACGCCCAGCTAATTCTTTGTATTTTAGTAGAGACAGGTTTTCACCATGCTGGCCAGGATGGTCTTGATCTCCTGACCTCATGATCCACCCAACCAGGCCTCCCAAAGTGCTGGAATTACAGGCGTGAGCCACCATGCTTGGCTTACTTTAAATTAAGAATGAAAAGAACAAGGCCGGGCGTGGTGGCTCACGCCTGTAATCCCAGCACTTTGGGAGGCCGAGGCGGGTGGATCACGAGGTCAAGAGATCGAGACCATCCTGGTCAACATGGTGAAACCCCGTCTCTACTAATAACTACAAAAAATTAGCTGGGCATGGTGGCGCGTGCCTGTAATCCCAGCTACTCAGGAGGCTGAGGCAGGAGAATTGCCTGAACCCAGGAGGCGGAGGTTGCGGTGAGCCGAGATCGCGCCATTGCACTCCAGCCTGGGTAACAAGAGCGAAACTCTGTCTCAAAAAAAAAAAGAAAAAAAAAAGAAAAGAACATGGGTGAAAAGGTCAGAAGGGCTCAGCCTCTGACCTTCCTGAAAGGAGCCTCCAAACTTATGCCATTCCTTTTCTTCTCTCTTCCAGCTGCAACATTATTCCTCTGCAAAGATGATTGTCCCTGGGAACAGTTACGGAAGACATCTTCCCTTGCTCTGAACTTGGGTCTAGGGATTTCCTCATTGTCTTCTCTCCCTGAAGCGTAAGGATCTGGAAGAGGCTTGTATCCTGAACTTTCAGATGCTGGCGCCCACTAGTGTTACCTCTCTGGGTTAAGGCATTCTTAAACACTTGTGCTTGGCATCTTCTGCAGATTAGGCCATGGCCCTAAATGGGAATTCTCCGGATTGTGGGCAAGTGGGTGGAAGTTATTCTGGCAGATGCTGATCTGATTATTATCATTATTTTTAATAAACAGAGTTTTACAGTGCTGATATGACCCTGTTGTCACCCCAACTGAATTTCTTTTGAACTCCCTAAACCAAAGCTCGGATGGGGTCAGAACAGCTTCATGGAAAGTTGGGCAAAACAAGCCAGCAATTGCGAAGTCAGGCTTTGACCAACACATTTCTTTGCACTGAGGCCTTGCTGCTGTGGATACGGAAATTGCTAAGTAGTTCTGTGCTTCCTCAGCGGCTGGGCCGTTCAGACCACAGGAGCTCCCTTTGGCGAACTGGAAAGCCTGGAGGTAGTCCAGTGTGGTGGCGTGTCAGCTCCTCCTAGGATCCCACCAGAGGGCAGCAAGCTCCTTTCACTTTGCTAATAAAAGCCTCTACGTTTTTGTGTGTTTTTGTTTTTTGGAGACAGGGTCTTGCTTTGTCACCCAGGCTGGAGTGCAGTGTCATGATCAATATTCACTGAAGTCTTGACCAGCTGGGCACTGCCTCAGCCACCCACATATCTGGGACCACAGGTGTGTACCACCATGCATAGCTAATTTATTTTTTGTGGAGACAGGGTCTCCCTGTGTTGATCTGGTTGGTCTCAAACTCCCAGGCTCAAGCAATCCTCCTGCATTGGCCTCCTGTGTTGGGATCACAGGCGTGAGCCACTGTGCTCAGCCCACTTCTAGTTTGACTTTTTACAATCAAACCTCCTGGCTATGCCCTGAGATCAGTACTAATTTGTAAACTGCTGAGGTGTGGATAGGAACGGGTAGTGCTGGCAGATCAGACCTCTTGAAAATGCTTATTCTTCCTCCCGTTTTGTCTTTTTCTTTTTTTTTAGAGACTGAGTTTTGCTCTTGTTGCCCAGGCTGGAGTGCAATGGCATGATCTCAGCTCACTGCAACCTTCGCCCCTGGTTCAAGGGATTCTTCTGCCTCAGCCTCCCGAGTAGCTGGGATTACAGGTGGCTGCCACCAAGCCAGGCTAATTTTTTTGTACTTTTAGTAGAGATGGGGTTTTACCATGTTGGCCAGGCTGGTCTCGAACTCCAGACCTCAGGCGATCCACCCGCCCTGGCCTCCCAAAGTGCTGGGATTACAGACGTGAGTCACCGTGCCCAGCCTTGTCTCTTTTAGGATGGTAATATGAGTCCCAGTGATTCCTGCCAATGCTTTGAATTTCCTCTTCTCCATGATATCACAGTGTTTATTTCCCCAGTTCTTGCATACCACTTTCTGTTTCAGCAGTTCTGCCAGGTAACCCTGTATTCCTTGGGACTGGTTTTGCTGCAGTTGGATACAGATACCAGCTCGCCTTAATGGGATCAGTATTGCTGCGTGCTTCCAGCCACTGGTTCTCATGCTCAATTCCAAAACCCTCCTATTGGGCAAATTCCCTCAAACTGTATTTGACCCAACAGCCACACACGTATTCCCGTCTGGTAGCTGCAGACATGCTGTGTTTACCAATGTTTGCTGTTTAAATTGCATGTTCTAATTCCAAGTATTTTCCAGTCTCTGTTTATAAGTCTCAGACTATAATAAACACAGCTTGCCTCAGTTTATCCTTTTTTATTTTGAGATGTATGCATATTAATCAAATTACCATCACTGGGGCATAGCAGTGGGGGCGGGGAGAATTATTCACATTCTCCTAAAAGGAAAGCAGCAAAGAGCCTTTTGTCTCAGTGGCTATGGCTGGTTTCCCGCAGGGTTCCCAGTGGAAACCCGTGTGGTCACCTGTTGCCATCTTCCATAGGAGAGTCACTTTGACGTGGAATGATCCTAATAGATTTAGCCAGACTGGTTTTACAGAAACGCTCTGTGCTGAGAACTGGAAACGATTGCACCCTATATCATATCTGCCTCCACCAGCTGGGACTGTCTGCAACACGCGGTGCCCAGTGAGGAGGCAGGCAGGACAGTTCTGTGCTGCATCCACGAGACCTGGAAATTCTGTTTGCTTTTGGAAAAAGAGTATTGTATCCGAGTTCATACTTCTCCACCCCATCTTGCCAAGGCTGCGGAAAGTAAAAATTGGCAGTATTGGTGGCTGCAGCGGGGACGGGACCATGGGAAAACGGGGATCGCGAGAGCGGAGGAAGGAAAGCGAGGAAAGTCGATGACGCCAGCAACCTGCAGGGGGCGCGCCGGCCACGCTCGCGACCGCTTCCTGGGCACGTGACCACCGCCCCGCCCTGTCGCTTTTGGGCCCGTCGCTTCCGGCGGCAGCGGTTGCCATGGGGACGGAGCTTTGGTGGCAACCAGAACTAGGGAGCTGGTGGAGAAGGTAGCGACTGCTGGAAGGAGGCCCGGGAGGTGGCTGAGGGGTCCAGGCAGCGGGACGACCCCGGCCTTTTGAGGACTGGGGTGGGTTCTCTCTGTAAGTCTGGGGCGAAGGCCACGGATCCTTGGCGGGGGTCCCCGGCCTGGCGAGGTCTGGCGCCCCTTGGGGGGCGCTCACCCGACCTGGGCCTTGTGGGGGTGGCCCCGAGGAGACCTGAGTTGGAGGCAGAGGCCGCACCTGGGCTTTAGTCCTCCTGCAGAGTCACGGACCTGGCACCCTTGCCCCAAACCCTTGTGGCTCGAACCCGGCCTTCCAGATGCGCCGGCAAAGTTGGGCTCAGTCAGAAGAGGCTGGTGGTGAGAGTCCTCGACTTGAATCACAGCAGTAATTTTTCAGCTAGAGAAACTAAGTGCCAGAGAGATCTCTTTCTTACTAGCAGTGTCATCTTGAGTAAGTCACTTCACCTCTCAGAGCCTCAAACTCATTCATTCATTATCATTATTGTTATTTTTATTTACTTATTTATTTTTGAGACAGTCTGTCTCTGTCGCCAGGCCGGAGTGCAGTCATGCGATCTCGGCTCACTGCAACCTCCGCCTCCCAGGTTCAAATGATCCTCCTGCCTCAGCCTCCCGAGTAGCTGGGACTACAGGCGGCATCATCACGCCCAGCTAATTTTTGTATTTTTAGTAGAGACGGGGTTTCACTATGTTGGCCAAGATGGTCTCCATCTCTTGACCTCGTGATCCACCCGCTTCGGCCTCCCAAAGTGCTGGGAGTTACAGGTGTGAAGCACTGTGCCCAGCCTCATTATTTAATTACTTTTTTTTTTCTAGAGATGAATTTGAGGAGCTGATACATTTAGTGCTAACAAATTAAGAAATAGAAATACATTTTCTACCCTGTGCTCTTTGGGACTTTATTTTCAAAGAGTTGAGTTCTCTTATTCTAATGTCAACGAAAATGTAGAGATTATTTTTTTCCTCTGGGTCCAACTCTTTAGGCATGAAGTATCCATCCTTGTTTTCCTAGTTAGATCTCTTGTTATAAGGAATAACTGAGAGATATGTCCAAAGGCTTTCAAACTGTTCGTTTCTTTGCACATTCGGGTTGGTTTTCTCTCAAATAATAACAATTGCTACAATTTTTTCAAGCTGTATGTGCCAGAACTGTTTTGAACATTTTATATATGTTAGCTCTTCTTTACAACCACCGTATAATTTAGGATTATTCTTTTTATTTTGTCCGTGAGAAAATGTGGACTATGAAGAGTGAAGTGACTTGCACAACGTCACAGAGCAAGTGCCTGGTGGAAATGGGATTCAGTGCTAGGACGCTGACAGCGAGGCCCACACTTTTAACCACAAGGCTGCTGTGCTTCTTCTTGTAGTCCTGTTTCTAGAATTGTTAATATGTGGATTATGCATTTTGCTGCCTGTGGGAATATGAATATATTTGAAATGAGTTAGAAGCCTCCAAGGATTTTATTCCTAGAAAGTGGAGAGGCCCTGGATCAATATTTTTAAGATCTGGGCCACAAATACATACACTGTAAGATTTCCCAGCCAGGCACGATGGCTCACCCCTGTAATCCCAGCATTTTGGGAGGCCAAGGCGGGCGGATAACTTGAGGTCAGGAGTTCAAGATCAGCCTGGCCAACTTGGTGAAACCCCGTCTCCACTGAAAAAATACAAAAATTAGCCCAGTGTGATGGCACATGCCTGTAATCCCAGCTACTGGGGAGGCTGGGGCAGGAGAATCGATTGAACATGGGAGATGGGGGTTGCAGCGAGCCAAGATCGCACCACTGCACTCCAGCCTGGGCAACAGAGTGAGACCATCTCAAAAAAAAAAAGATTTCCCACAAATATAACATTCTTTTTTTTTTTTTTTTTTTTTTTTTTTTTTTTAAAATTTTTTTTTTTTTTTTTTTTTTTTTTTTTTTTTTTTGAGATGGAGTCTTGCTCTGTAGTCTAGCTGTAGTGTAGTGGTGTATTCTTGGCTCAATGTAATCTGTCCTCCCAGGTTCAAGCAATTCTTCTGTCTCAGCCTCCCGAGAGGCTGGGATTATAGGTGCCTGCCACCATGCCTGGCTAATTTTTTGTATTTGTAGTAGGGATGGAGTTTCACCATGTTGGCCAGGCTGGTCTCAATCTCCTGACCTCAAGTGATCCTCCTGCCTCATTACAGATGTCAGCCACCACATCTGGCCAGAAATATGACATTCTTTTTTAATTTAATTTTTTGAGATGGAGTTTTGCTGTTGTCACCCAGGCTGGAGTGCAATGGCACAATCTCGGCTCACTGCAACCTCTGCCTCCCTGGTTCATGCAATCCTCCTGCCTCAGCCTCCACAGGTGCCCACCACCACACCTGGCTAATTTTTGTATTTTTAGTAGAGACAAGGTTTCATCATGTAGGCCAGGCTGGTCTCGAACTCCTGACCTCAGGTGATCCATCTGCCTCGGCCTAGTGCTGGGATTATAGGCGTGAGCCACCGTGCCTGGCCAGAAACATGACATTCTTTTTATTCCCGTGGAAAGGGACCAGAGCCAGTTGTGCACATTTCATAGGTTAGCACACTAGGAAATGGAGAGCCGAGGGGCTTGCTGGTTATTATGGTCAAAATCTCTCCAGAGGAAACTCTACAGAGAAGGATGTCAGATGCAGAGGAGGCCCCCAGAGAATCGACAGGACAAAATGGAGAAACAGAAATGAAAGAAGAGGAGGAACCTAATCCAAATTATAAAGAAGTAGAAAATCCACAAGAGGAATTGAAAGATGACACATTAGCATGGAGAGAGTCTCAGGAGGAGGAGAGGAAAAAGGGCGAGGAGGAAGGGGAGGAGGAGGAGGAAGAGGAGGGGGAGGAGGACAAAGAGATTGCCATGGAAGAAACTCAGGAAAAAGCTGGAGAAGCCCAGGAGGAGGAGGCTTCAGGAATACAGAAAGAAACCACAGTGGAGCCCCAAGAAATGAAAAAATCCATGACCAGTTTGGAGACACAGATTACCGATTCCCAGTCAATCACATCAGCAATTTTCCCAGTAAGTAATCATCTTAATTCATTCATAATCATTAATTGAATGCTTAGTATAGGCCAGACTATGGGAACACAAAATCAAATTAGATACAATTCTTTTTTTTTTTTTTTTTTTTTTGAGACAAGGTCTCATTCTGTTGCCCAGGCTGGAGTGCAGTGGCATGATCTCGGCTCACTGCAACCTCTGCTTCCTGAGTTCAAGCAATTCTCCTGCCTTAGCCTCCTGAGTAGCTGAGATTACAGGCATTAGCCACCACACCTGGCTAATTTTTTGTATTTTCAGTGGGGATGAGTTTTGGTATTACCATGATGGCCAGGCTGGTCTCAAATGCATGACCTCAAATGATCTGCCCACCTTGGCCTTCCAAAGTGCTAGGATTGCAGGCATGAGCCACCATGGCCAGGCCACAATCCATTCTTTTTTTTTTTTTTTTGTCTTTGGAGTTTCGCTCTTGTTGCCCAGGCTGGAGTGCAATGGTGCAATCTTGGTTCACTGCAACCTCTGCCTCCTGAGTTCAAGCGATTCTCCTGCCCCAGCCTTCTGAGTAGCTGAGATTACAGGCATTCACCACCACGCCCAGCTAATTTTTTTGTATTTTTAGCAGAGATGGGGTTTCACCCATGTTGGCCAGGCTGGTCTCAAACTCCTGACCTCAGGTGATCCACCCGCCTTCGCCTCCCAAAGTCCTGGGAGCCACTGCTCCTGGCCATAATCCATTCTTTTAAGGAGCTCTAAGGTGTATAGGGAGGCAGAGCTGTGAGTGCAGTGATTGAAAGATATACAGGAGATGAAGCAGGGCCTCTTAACCCACTTTGGAGGATGGCCAGGGAAAGCTTCCTGGAGGAGGTGTGTGCCACAGCTGAAGTGTGCTTCTCTCAGAATGGAGTCAGTATGATAATAGGAGTGTAGGTTTCCTACAGACTGCTCCCAGCAGGAGAACTCAGCTGTGGCCTAAGAATAGGTCACTGTGAGTAGTCAGCCTTCTGGAGACCAATAGTGCCACTTAGAAGAATGATTTTGCCATTGTGGGTCTGCTGGTAGGCCAAGAATAAACTTGAGCACACTCATGTTTGTCTTTCCTTGCCTTTGCCTTTGCCTTGTCTTTTTCCCTCTCCCTCTCTTTTCCCTCTCCTCTCCTCTATTTTCCCTCTCCCCTCCCCTCTCTTTTTCCTCTCCCCTCCCCTCCTCTTCCCTCCTCTCTCTTCTCCCCTCCTCTCATCCCTCCTTCCTACCCTGGGTCTCACTTTGTCACCTAGGCTGAAGTGCAATGGCATTGATCTCTCACAAGCAGCCTCAACCTCCCAGGCTCAAGTGATCCTCCCACCCCAGCCTCTTGAGTAGCTGGAACTACAGGCATGCACCACCACGCCCAGCTAATTTTGTTCATTTCCGGTAGAGATAAGGTGTCACTATGTTGGCCAGGCTGGTCTTGAACTTCTGGGCTCAAGTGATCCTTCCCCCTTGGCCTCCCAAAGTGCTGGGATTACAGGCGTACGCCACTGCACCCTATCTCGTTTTGTTTTTTAAGTAAAAATGTTCCAGGCTCTTTTAAAAAACATTTCGTAATTCCAAGGTGAAGCTAACACTAAGACTGGCTGATTAGGAATAGAAAAGGGAAATAATAGGTGAAGGTAGCAGCACATACCATATGTGGAATCATGATCTTTTATTTCTTTTTAAAGACAACCCAAAGAGGTAGCGAGTCAAAGCCTTCCTTACAGCCAGAGGATTCAGAAGCAGATGAATTTCTTGATTTGGATCAAATCAGTCCTGAGGAACAACAGATGAGTTCCCCTGAAAGGCAGCCTTCAGGAGAGCTTGAGGACACCAACCAGAGGCCCCAGGATGAACTGGGACGAGAAAGAAGGGACTTGGAGCCAGAAAAGAAAGAGGAGGGACAAGAAAGGAGCGTATCCTCTACCCAGTCCATAGCAGGGATCTCCAGGGAGTCACTGGTGTCCACCACCACAGAGGACGTTTTGTTTCAAAAGGATAAAAGTGCCCCGGTGTATCCCTTGGTAAGTAGAATGCTTTTACACCTCCCCCAGCGCTTTGAGAGTATTGTGCAATAGGGAATTTTAGGCATCTGGGGGAAAATAAAACCACCAGAAGGATACTTTTAAAACTACTAATAGACTTTGTGTCTTTTTTTTTTTTTTTTTTTTTAAGATGTTTTTTTTTTTTTTTTTTTTTTTTTTTTTTTTTTTTTTTTTTTTTTTTTTTTTTTTAAGATGGAGTCTTGGTCTGTTGCCCAGGCTGGAGTGCACTGGCACGATCTTGGCTGGTTCACTGCAGTCTCTGCCTCCTGGGTTCAAGCGATTCTTGTGCCTCAGCCTCCCAAGTAACTGGGATTATAGGCATGAGCCACCATGCCTGGCTAATTTTTGTATTTTCAGTAGAGATGGGGGTCTTGCCGTGTTGGCCAGGTTAGTCTTGAACTCCTTACATCAGGTGATCCACCTGCTTTGGCCTCCCAAAGTGCTGGCATTACAGGCATGAGCCACTGGGCCCAGCCTAGACTTCTGTCTTTTAAAGTTAAGAGCTCCGACTGGAACGTGTGTGACTGAACATGAACTTGAGAGCTGCATCTGGGTTCAATCGTGTTGTTCAGCAGGAGGAAATTCCGGACATAGTTTGTCTGTTGCATAGGGTGCTACTTTGTGTGGGAGATTCAGACTCCACCCGCTCTCTCCCCAGCTTCCTCTCCCTCTTCTTCCCCCCACTTTCCCTTATCTCTCCTCCCCTCCAGTCTCCTCTCCTTTTTCTCTTTCAGTTGTAAAATTCTTCCCTTATGCCACAATTCCACCCCTTTCCCTTCTTGCCCCACCTCTTCTGCCTTGATATCTTTCCATGCCCCCAAAACCATCCGTTCCAAGAGGGTCCCAGAGTGGAAGGTAATGGAGGAGTGAAAGCCACCGTGAAAAGCCCCAGGCAGTCCAGAGGACTCTGCCTTTGCCACTGCTGAAAATATTCCAGGGAGGCACCATCTGCGAGGAATAAAAATATTATCATTTACCAAGAGAAGGAAAAGGAGGGGTTTTTTCCTTCTTCCTCCATCTGCTACTTTCTGAAAATTGTTTCCTAGGATTCATCCTTCCTGTAGCTTCATGCCTTTGGAAGATGTGGAAGTGACTGAATGGATATCAAACACTTAATGTAGTTCCTAACACACAGTGGGTACTCAGTAAGTGTCCGCAACTGTGTGGCAATGGCGATGATGGAGGCAAGGTGTCTGGAGGGAAATGCAGACACTGAAAACCTCCTTTCTGCAGATTGGGCTTCATGTGAGCCTAGTGTCACAGCTTCTCTCCCATCACATGCAACTGTCCAGTCTGAGAAAAGAATACTTGAGCTTTAGGGCCCACAGCGACTCTTGTCTTGTTTAGCCAGCAAACATAAATCAGCTACTATCTCTAAGGAGAAGGTGGATTCCTTGTGTCACGGGCCAGCTATATCGACAAGAGCCAATCCCCAGGTTTGGGTCTCTGTTAGCCTTTGTCTCATTGCAGAACCAAAATTTTTCTAGACTGTCTTCCTTTGCAAATTACTTGAGCTCTTTTTTTTTTTTTTTTTTTTTTTTAAGAGACAGAGCTCTGCTGTGTTGCCCAGGCTGTACTAGAACTCAATCTTCACACCTCGGCCTCCTGAAATTTCTCTAGCTTTTTGCATATATATTCTTTCTTTTTCCTTTAGTTTCCTTTTCTTCTCCTTTATTACTTTTTCTTTTCGTTTTTCTTTATTTTGAGACAGGCTCTCACTCTATTACCCAGACTAGAGTGCAGCACTGCGATCACAGTTCATTGCAACCTCCGCCTCCCGGGTTCAATTTATCTTCCCACCTCAGCCTCCCGAATATCTGGGACTACAGGCATGTATCACCACACCCAGCTAATTTTATTTATTTATTTTATTTTATTTTTTTGAGATGGAGCCTCGCTCTGTCGCCCAGGCTGGAGTTCAGTGGCGCGATCTTGGCTCACAGCAACCTCCACCCGGGGTTCAAGCAATTCTCCTGCCTCAGCCTCCTGAGTAGCTGAGATTACAGGTGCCCGCCACCACGCCCAGCTAATTTTTGTATTTTTAGTAGAGATGGGGTTTCACCATGTTGGCCAGGATGGTCTGGATCTCTTGACCTCGTTATGCACCCACCTTGGCCTCCCAAAGTGCTGGGATTACAGATGTGAGCCACTGCGCCTGGACTAATTTTAAAAATCTTTTGTAGAGATGGGGTCTTACTATGTCCCTCATGCTGGTCTTGAACTCCTAAGCTCAAGCAATCCTCCTGCCTTGGCTTCCCAAAGTGTTGAGATTATAGGTGTGAGCTACCTGGCCTCTATTTTTTTCTTTTTGTTAAAACTATTCAGTGTTGGCCAGGTGTGGAGGCTCACACCTGTAATCCCAGCACGTTGGGAAGCTGAGGTAGGTGCATCACCTGAGATCAGAAGTTCAAGACCAGCCTGGCCAACATGGTAAAACCCTGTCTTTACTAAAAATACAAAAATTAGCTGGGCATGATGGCAGGTACTGTAATCCCAGCCACTTGGGAGGCTGAGGAAGGAGAATTGCTTGAACCTGGGAGATGGAGGTTGTAGTGAGCCAAGATTGCAACATTGCACTCCAGCTTGGGCAATAGAGTGAGACCATCTCAAAAAAACAACGACAAAAAACTATTCAGTGTTAGTTGTAAAAAATTCAGACAACTTATACATGTTTGAAGGCAAAGATTCTTCTTTCTGCACACCCCCACCCCAATCTCATTTCCCTGAGTAAATCTCACTTTCCTGCCACATATTTTTTTTCTTTTTTTTAAAGTTTCACTCTTGTTGCCCAGGCTGGAATGCAGTGGTATGATCTCGGCTCACTGCAACCTCTGCCTCCCAGGTTCAAGCGATTCTCCTGCCTCAGCCTCCTGAGTAGCTGGGATCACAGGCACGCGCCACCATGCCCAGCTAACTTTTGTATTTTTGTAGAGACAGGGTTTCACCATGTAAGCCAGGCTGGTCTCGAGCTCCTGACCTCAGGTGATCCACCCACCTCAGCCTCCCAAAGTGCTGAGATTACAGGCATGATCCACCGTGCCCAGCCCACTTCCTCTTTTCAAATGTAACTCTTCCCCTCTCTGTGGCCATTTATGTTGCTTCTAATTTCTTGCACACAAGGTCCTACAATAAACACGCTCCTCCATCTCTCCTGTGTCCACAGCATCCTCCTTTTCCTTTGGGGTCCCCTGCCTTAGTCCTAAGGCCTGTAATAGCTCCCAGGGCTCACTATCAATAGACATGACTGTGGATTCCACCTCCAGCCAGGAAATAAGGCAATCGTGTATTTATGAGCATGAATCTTATGAATATCAAATAAGTGAAATCTGGTTTTGACAGTAAAGTTTTGTTTTCCAGATTAATATGTTTTAGAAAAAGATTGATGTAAGTGGTGGCTGTCTACGTAATCATCTGTCATGCATGTTAAAACTGGTGTAAAACACGATGATTAATACTATTTGATTTCTGTAATTGTGAACCCTGCTCGAGTGGGGTCGTTCTATTACCACTCAGTGAAGTAAGCCTCATGGTGACCCGGGAAGAGCTGTTATGGCTGAAGACAGGAGTCCTTTTAGGAATGTTCTCTTTTTATAACTAATTCGTTAAATGGCAAAATGAATTTCCAGGAAGATGATCCTTTTAGGATTAACAAGTTTCCAAAAGAACAATTTCATTTGAATAAATCAGCTTTTAAGAAAAAGCCAAATATTAAATAATTCTGTTCCTAGAAGTTGCAGCTTGAGACAATTATGATTCCATAATTCTACCACTCATACCCACACAATAAGAGATCTAAATATAAATATAAATTATAGGGAATGAGCAGATGGAAACAGGAGAGGATGGGGAATGAAGAATGTAGGAGAGAGAAATTGGCCACATTACCTGCTATGTCTGTCTTGGGGAGAAGTAATTTAACTTTATAAGTATTGTTCAAAGATAAGAAAGGAAACTTACCAGATTTTGTTTCTATATTCCAATTTAATTCACTGATTCTTAGCAACTCATCACTTAATCATCACTTTCAGCACTCTACTGCATTTGATTACTTGGCCCTAGTGAATTTTTTTAATAGACTTTTTTTTTTTTTTTGAATAGGGTCTTGCTATATTGCCCCGGTTGGAGTGCAGCAGCAGGATCTTGGTTCACTGCAACCTCTGCCTCCTAGGCTCAGTCGATCCTCCTGCTTTAGCTTCCTGAGTACCTGGGATTACAGGTGCACACCACCATGCCTGACTAATTTTTGTATATTTTTTAGAGATGGGGTTTCACCATGTTGCCCAGGCTGGTCTTGAACTGCTGGGATCAAGCAATCCACCCACCTTGGTCTCCCAAAGTTCTGGGATTACAGACATGAGCCATTGCGCCCAGCCTAGGTTTTATTTTTGAGCAGTTTTAGGTTTATAGAAAAATTGAGCTGAATGTACACAGGGCGCCCATATATTTCTCTGCACATCCCTCCTCTCCCAGGGTTCCCTTTTATTCACATCCTGCATGAGTGTGGTCATCTGTTATCACTGATGAGCCAATACTGGTCCCTTATTATTAACCTAAGTCCATAGTGTACATTGGGGGTCACTCTGTGTCATGCTTCTTATGGACATGGACAAATGTACCCTGACATGTACCCACCATTCTAGTATCAAGCAAAGAGATTCATGCCACGAAGCTCCCTGTCCTCCACCTATCCGTCCCCCTCTTCCTCCCCTGCGCCCTGGCAACCACTGATTTTTTTTTTGAAACAGGGTCTCACTCTGTCACCAGACTGTAGTACAAAGGCAAATCTTGGCTCACTACAACCTCCACCTCCTGGGTTCAAGCAATTCTCCTGCCTCAGCCTCCCAAGTAGCTGGGATTACAGGCACATGCCACCGTGCCTGGCTAATTTTTTCTATTTTTAGTACAGACAGGGTTTCACCATGTTGGCCAGGCTGGTCTCGAACTCTTTAGCTCAGGTGATCCACCTGCCTCAGCCTCCCAAAGTGCTGGGATTACCCCGGCCCCACTGATCTTTTTATTGTCGCCATAGTTTTGCCTTTTCTAGAACGTCATAGAGTTGGAATCATGTAATATGCAGCCCTTTCAGATTGGCTTCATTCACTTAGCAACATGCATGTAAGTTTCCTCCATAGCTTTTTGTGGCTTCATAGCCCTTTTTTTTTCTTGTTGAATAATATTGCATTGTCTGGATGTGTCACAGTTGGTTTATTCTTAATTAAAAAAAAATACTTTGAACACAAAACAAGTACATAAATGAACTAGTATTGAAGTAAAATCCATAGTCAGACTTATAGTACTTATAATTTTTCATTTCATAAAATTTTAATTTTGGATTTATTCCAGGCAATACAGAATTTTTAATTCTTCTAAGAAGATTTTGTCTCCTGGGCAACAGAGCGACACTCCATCTCAAAAAAATAAATAAATAAAGAGAAAAAAGAAAAGAAAATCTTCAACAATACATACAAATAACTTCCTATTCTTCCACTCCCCAGGACCTAGACTTTGTTCAGTATCAGACACACAGAGAGCACCTAAGTCATGAAATTCCATTTATTTTCTAAAAGCATGTAGAGTAGACAAGTGACAGTGAAGTCATTGCCTAACTTTATAAGACAGGCAAATAGGCTGGGAGCCCTGTCTCACGCCTGTAATCCCAGCACTTTGGGAGGCCAAGGTGGGTAGATCACCCGAGGTTGAAAGTTCTAGATCAGTCTGGCCAACGTGGTGAAACCACATCTCTATAAAAATATAAAAATTAGCCAGGTGTGGTGGCACACACCTATTCTCCCAGCTACTCAAGAGGCTGAGGCTGGAGAATTGCTTGAACCTGAGAGGCGGAGGTTGCAGTGAGGTGAGATGGCGCTGCTACACTGCCACCTGGCAATAGAGCGAGACTCCATCTCAAAAAAAAAAAAAAAGAAAGGCAATTGATTATTCAGCCTGGGCATTTGGTCTCTATGTACTACTTATACTGGAAGGATAAAGGATGAAGAGACAAAAGTAGACCAGTAGTTGCCAAGGGCTATGAGCAGCAGTAATGGGAAGTAACTTTTTTTTTGAGATGGAGTTTCGTTCTTATTGCCCAAGCTGGAGTGCAATGGTGCGATCTTGGCTCACCACAACATTTGCCTCCCAGGTTCAAGCGATTCTCCTGCCTCAATGTCCCAAGTAGCTGTGCCACCACACCTGACTAATTTTTGTGTTTTTAGTAGAGATGGGGTTTCACCATGTTGGCCAGGTTGGTCTCGAACTCCTGACCTCAGGTGATCTGCCCACCTTGACCTCCCAGATTTGCCGAATATGGACTTTCAGATATGTGAAATTATATAATACGCAGCCTTTTGTGACTGGCTTCTTTCAGTTAGCGTCACATTTTCAAGGTTCATCCATGTTTTGGCATGATGTTGAGGACCTTCTTAAAGTGGTTGCTCTTCGCTGGACTGTTGATGTGAAATTCTTCCCCTCCAGCAAGTTCCTGGAGTCCCGGCTCTGGGCTGAACACGCTGTAATGTCTTGCTGGTTTTGCCCTTGTCTTCCAGACCTTGACCTGGTCGTTTGGATGGAACAGTTCTCTTCCTGTTTACTATGTTCGAGAGGAAAAGCAGAGAGTTCTTCTGTATGTTTGCGCTCACACTGTGATCATCTACAACGTATTCAGGAATCATCAGTACCACCTTCAGGTATGCAGGGATTTTCTTTTCTTTCTTTCTCTCTCTCTCTGTATCTTTCTCTCTCTCTTTCTTTCTTTCTCTTTTCTTTCGAGACGGAGTCTCACTCTGTCGCCCAGGCTGGAGTACAGTGGCTCGATCTCAGCTCACTGCAACCTCTGCCTCCCAGGTTCAAGTGATTCTTCTGCCTCAGCCTCTGGAGTAGCCGGAACTACAGGTGCGCGACACCACGCCTGGCTAATTATTTTTAGTAGAGATGGGATTTCACCATATTGGCCAGGCTGGTCTTGAACTCCTGATCTCGTGATCTACCTGCCTTGGCCTCCCACAGTGCTGGGATTACAGGTGTGAGCCATCGCATCCAGCCACAGGGATTTTCTTAACTGTAGGTAGGGAGTTTTCTTTAACACGTGTGTGGTATTTTGTTTTGTTTTGTGTCTCAAGGGCTGACTTCATTCTATCACTGTGGTATTTCCTCACTCTCCTTGGCGGCTAAAGCCAATCCTGTCTTTAGAAACACATTATTGTTTATTGCCTCTCTGTTTCTAATCAGAGTGAACTTACAAAACAGCAGTTGATATTAATTTTATAGTTATAAGAATTTAAAACATATGTATTTTTTACATTTCTGCAAAATGTGGACAGCTTAGATCATGTCTCCACAGATGTAACACAAAGGGCAGCTGTTCAGCAGGGATGCAGCCTCACACGCACTTAGGCATCTCTCTAGTTTTCAAAGAGCTTTCATCTTATAACCGTACCGAGAAGTGGGTGTTAATTTTACAGAAGAAGAAACTGAGGCTAAGAGTGATTTCAGTGACATGCCCAAGCCTGTACTAGTAAATGATGACTCTACATCTCCTGACTTGAAAGTGTTAAGTAGGTCAGTTGTCCTTTTACCACTCCCTCCTTTCAGCAACTTTGCTCATTTCACCCCTCTCTGAGCCTCCTCTGCTTGTCCTTCAAGCCTGCCCTCCTCACAGTACTCAGCTTCCTTCATTCCTGAAATTTGGGACCCATTTCATTTTCTTTTTTCTTTTTTTTTTTTTTGTGAGATGGAGTCCTGCCCTGTTGCCCAGGCTGAAGTGCAATGGCACAATCTCGGCTCACTGCAATCTCTGACTCCTTGGTTTAAGCAATTCTCTTGCCTCAGCCTCCCCAGTAACTAGGACTACAGGCGACCGCCATAACGTCCAGCTAATTTTTTTGTATTTTTAGTAGAGACAGAGTTTCTCCATGTTAGCCAGGCTGATCTCGAACTCTGACCTCAGGTGATCTGCCTGCCTCAGCCTCCCAAAATGCTGGGGTTACAGGCGTGAACCACCGCGCCTGGCCCTGTTTCATTTTCATCATTTACCTTTCCAAGCATCCTATTCCCTTGGTGTCTGACTTTCCACCCATTGACCTGGCAAATGGTTCCATGTCACCCTTTCAGTTGACATGTGTTGCTACAGGAGCGTCCTTAGTGATGCCTAGATTAAAATCACCACGAAGTATTTACCAAGGGCGCAGCCCATACTCAGTGTTATGCCAGGGACTCAAGACGTCTGGGTGCAACTTCAGGAATTCACTCTCTAGAAGTCCAGAAATACGCAGGCAGAAATCAGCAGGCAGCTCCCCTTGGAGCTTCATTGAATGTGTGGCAGTGAGCATAGTGGTCATGGCAGACAGAGAAGGGAGAGATTGCTGTGGGTGGGCTCGGATAGTCAGGATGAGTAGGATGCTCAGACGTGCTGGGGTGGAGGGAGGCAGGGGTCCAGCCTCCCTAGGGCCAGAGGGCTGGGAGTGGCCTTAACCATCCATTATTTGTTCCACAAATAGTTGTCATAGCCGCTGTGTTTCAGAGTATAGGTCTGTAGTAATGAACAAAATAGATGTATTCCCTACTCTCATGGAGCTTCCAGTCCAGTATGGAGAGAGACATTCAATAAGTGAACACATAAATGATTACAAATTGTAACCAGTGCTTGAAAGGAGATGTGAAAACACTCGAAGAGAAAAATGAGGGTAAGAGAAGACTTAACATTAGATTGGGTGGGCAGGGATGGAAGAGGAGCTGTTTCTGCTGAGACTTGGAGGATAAGAATGAGCCAGCTGAAGACAGTCTGGGGAAGAACATTCCAAACAGAGAGAGCAACAAGTGTTCAGGCCATGTGTGTGGGGCTGGGAAGGAAGGCTGGTGTGGCTGGTGCACAATGAGGGCGAGAGAAGAAGGAGGGAAGAGGGGCCGTTTCCCAGCAGGGGGTGCTGCCTTTTGTGTTTCCAGAAGATTCCTCTCTTGTGGGCATGAAAGGATTGTAAAAAGTTAAGAGTGTAAGCAGAGGCCAAGTATGGTGGCTCATGCCTGTAATTTCAGCCAGGGCAGAGGAGGCCGAGGTGGGTGAATTGCTTGAGTCCAGGAGTTTGAGGCCAGCCTGGGCAACATAGCAAGACCCTTGTCTCTATAAAAAATTTAAAAATTAGCTGAGGATGGTGGCATGTGCCTGTAGTCCCAGCTATTTGGGAGGCTGAGGTTGGAGGATTGCTTGAGCCCAGGAGGTCAAAGCTGCAGTAAGCCAAGATTGTGTCAGTAAACTCCAATCTGGGTGACAGAGTGAGACCCTGTCTCAAACAAAAAGAGTGGAAGTATAGAGACCAGGAGATGTGTCAGTAAAAAAAAGCGGGAACTTTTTGCCCCAGAGCTGCTCAGAGCCCTGAAGTGAGCAATGCTCTAGAGAGAAGAGGCTGGCAGCATGACTCAGAGTGGCTGGGGGCAGGTGAGGTCCCAGATATTTATTCTCCACTTGGGTTGGGAGTTGCTACATGCCTTGACCTCGAGGAGCCGCTGTTCACGTGGGGAGCTTATCTTTCAGGTGTTTGGAGGGAGAGAAAGTTTGAAAATCACCCAGTAGGAGGTGGAGAAACCCCCGGAAGGCCATTGGGAACGGAATTTCCAGCCAGATGAGCGTTGAAAGGAGCTCAGATCTGTCTGTGGGGCCCCAGTCTTCACTGATGGTGGCTGAGGCTGGGCCGCATCTTGGATATTTCAAAGCGTTTTCTCTCCATTTCCATAGGGCCACGCCAATATTATCTCCTGCATCTGCATCAGTGAAGACAGGCGGTGGATCGCCACAGCAGACAAAGGGCCAGACTGCCTGGTCATTATATGGGACACCTTCACAGGGTAGGCTTCGTGTAGTCACTTCTTTTTTCCCCTAATTTCTGTACAGTGTCTGCCATTGTGACTAAGCAAAGAATGAGTAATGCCAATGCCTAGAAATAGGATTTGTTGGTGTTCCACAGTAGACCAGCCTTATGCTGACTTGCACTAACCCAACTCACACAAGCTCAAAGCATAACCCAGATGGCAAATCTGTCATTTACAGTGAGAAACATTACTTGCACAAGGACAGATTTTCTAGTGGCTTGTCAGGCTCCCTCTTCTGGGCAACACTACCAAGTGTTCCTGTCGATCCCTGCTCCCCGTTCCATACGTTCCTTGTTGAATACGTTCGATCTGCTTGCCTACCGTGGTTTTCAGCATGGTAATGCTGGAAGGCTCCCCAAAGCTGCTGTTTCTCTGCAGTCCCTCTCTAATTCTAACAACCCACCATTGCCTCTTTCCTTTTTTTTTTTTTTTTGAGACGAAGTCTCACTCTGTCACCCAGGCTGGAGTGCAGTGGCGCAATCTCGGCTCACCGTGACCTCCACCTCCCGGGTCCAAGCGATTCTCCTGCCTCAGCCTCCCAAGTAGCTGGGACTACAGGCGCCTGCCACCACGCCCGGCTAATTTTTTGTATTTTTAGTAGAGGCGGGGCTTCCCAGTGTTATCAGGATGGTCTTGATCTCCTGACCTCGTGTTCCGCCTGCCTCAGCCTCCCAAAGTGCTGGAACTACAGGCGTGAGCCACTGCACCTGGACGCCTTTTTTCCTTTATCGTACACTCGGGGTCTCCCTCCACTGCCCACGCTGGAGTGCGGTGGCGCAATCATAGCTCACTGCAGCCAAGAACTCCCAGGATCAAGCGAGTCTCCTGCCTTGGCCTCTTGAGTAGCTGGAACCACAGGCGCATGCATCCACACCTGGCTGACTGGTTTTTTTGTAGAAGTGAGGTCTTGCTATGTTGCCTTGGCGGGTCTTGAACTCCTGGCCTCAAGAGATCCTCCCGTCTTGGCCCCTCAAAGCACTAGGATTGCAATCATGAACCACCTCACCTCACCTCTTTTTAAATAATTTATTTTATTATATTTTTGTAGAGATGGGGTCTAGTGTTGTTTCCCAGGCTGGCCTTGAACTCCTGGGCTCAAGCCATCCTCTTGCTTAGCCTCCCAAAGTGCTGGGATTACGAGTGTGAGCCACTGCACCCAGTCTCTCTCTCTCTTTTTTGATTAACAGACTTTTATTTTTAGAACAGTTTTAGATTTACAGAAGAATTGGGAAGATAGTACTCAAGATTCCCGTATACCCCACACCCAGGTTCCCACATTAGTTAATCTTACATTAGTAGGATCAATTTGCTATAATTCGTGAACCAATATTGACACATTATTATTAACAAGCATCCAGGAGACCGCATTTGATTGAGGTGTGATGTCTCCTTAGGCTCGTCTTGGCTCTGGCAGTTTCTCAGACTTTCCTTGTTTTTGATGACTTTGACAGTTTTGAGGAATACAGGTCAGGGATTTGGTAGAGTGTCCATCTATTGGACTGTGTCTGATGTTTTTCTCAAGTTAGCCTACAAGCCTTTGGACACACTCTGGTGTCTAAGAAAAGAGTTACAGTGGCCTTCTTAACCTGGGGTAATAAGGCATGCTTGCTTTGATCTAGAAACCAGGCTAGGTGGTGAGGGGAGGTGGACAACCACAGGCTCTCTGGCACTGGAGCCAGGTCCAGAAGGCCGGGGTTCTTACCCTCCTGGTATCTGCTCCTGTAACTCACTCTCCTCCTTCCCTGGGTAGAGGCAGACTGGATGGAGGGCTTCTCTGGTATCAAGGTGGTCATCCTTTATTGCCTTTCTTCCTAACTCATAAAATTCAGCTTTTCTGGTCTCTTTTCTGTTAGTGCATCAGACAAGGAATGGTGGAATTTCCATGGGCTGGAGCAGTGCTGCTCAAAGTGTGGCCTGCAGGCGGAGCTGATCAGTCAGCCGGTCCTGGGCTATGTTGAACAGAAAGTACAGAAAATGAAGAGAGGGGGCCTTTGGAACTTTTATAGCAATTTGCTCTTGCTATGATATTTTTATTTTGTAAAAGTATTTGATCTGGGCTGGGTGCAGTGGCTCCTGTGCTTTGGGAACCTCCCAGCACTTTGGGAGGCTGAGGCAGGAGGATCACTTGAGGCCAGGTGTCTGAGAGCAGCCTGGGCAACATAGTGAGATTCTGTCTCTACAAAAAGTAAAGATTTAGCCATATGTAGTGGTGTGTGCCTGTCATCCCAGCTACTTGGGAGGCTGAGGTGGGAGGATGGCTTGAGCTTAGGTGTTTGAGGCTGCAGTGAGCCATTATTGTGCTGTTGTACTCCTGCCAGGGTGACAGAGCGAAACCCCGTCTCAAGAAAAACAATATGTATTGGCCCACAATGGAATAAAAATGTCTTTCGCCACAGATAGTTTGTGTAGTGCTGGGCAAGAAGATGCCTAGGCAGTTGGGGGACACTGTGGGGCTGAGCATGCCACTTTGTGTGACAGCTGTCAAGCAGAAGGCCAGCTTATCTGTCGAGGACATTGGGATTGGGCTGAAGTTTGGACTATGGGGTTGTGGTGTGGTGTGATCGATAGGACTGCAGTAGGGTTCCGCCAAATGAAGGGAAGGAACTGTAGGGTTCAGGGCAGGCCTGGTGGGAACAGAAAGCACGAGCCTGCAGCAGGTGGGTGGGTGGGAGGAACGTGGCGATGCGTGTCCGGCCATGCTGGCCAGGTGGGAATAAGAACAGGGAATGTGGCTGGTGGTGGCTTGCCTGGGTAGGAGAATTGAAAGGGGAGAGGGGAAGGGGCCCTGGGGACTTCAGGGTGACATGAAAGAGCAGGTGGCAAGAGGAAAGCGTGAGTGTGGGCTCTGCCATCCTCCTGGGCTTCTGTGCCCGCTTGGCCATGGTCTGCTGTGTGACTTGGAGGCCCAGAGAAGAAAGTGACTTTCCCATTTGTGAAAAAATAATAATGACACCTACTGTTTTTTACTTTCCTTGGGCTACTGTAACAAATTACCTTGAATGACATGGCTTAAAATAAGAGGAATGTACTCTCTTGCAGTTCTGGAGGCCAGAAGTCTGAAACCAAGGTGTCGGCAGAGTTGGCTGCTTCTGGGGGCTGTGAGGGAGAATCTGTCCCAGGTCTCTCCCCTCACTTCTGGTGGCTACGGGTGACCCTTGGTATCCTTGGCTTGTGGACATATCCGCCCAGTCTCTGCCTCTATCTTCCCATGACATTTCCACCATGCACCCATCTGTGTCTTCTTGAGGACACTGGACATTGGATTTGGGACCCACCCTAGTCCAGTATAACCTCATCTTAACTAACTACATCCACAAAGGCCTTGTGTCCAAATAAGCTCGTATTCTGAGGTTCTGTGTGGACCCGCATTTGGAGGGACCATTACTTACCGATTAGACCCAGTGTGCAGGATGTTGTGAGGCTCGCTAGAGCACAGTACCCGGCCCATGATAGAGGATCCTCGATGGGTTTTCTTTCTTAACTCCTGGCCTAGAGGCAGAGAGCAGTCGGATTCACTGACAAGATTGTTTGGGCCTGGTTAGTTGGGTGCGTGGGTGGGGAGGGGGAAGAGTTCAAGGAGTGAGTCCAGATGCATGAGGAGGTTAGGAAGAAGTTATGTTGAATGTTCTAGAGTGGGGGACACAGGAACTGCTCTCCCACATGTGACCAGTGACCTCCAGGGGGTCACATTGCCCAACCCCGATCTTCATCTGACTTCTCTGTGGCATCTGACACTTCATTTCCTGTGGCTCCTCTGATTTCACACAAAGACCTACAATAGATGGCCTTTGTGTCTGGCATCTTTCACTTAGCCTCGTGCTTGAAGGTTCATCTGTGGTGTGGCACGTGTTGCTTCTGTGGCAGAATCACATTACATTGTATGGGTAGACCAAACAACGTATGGTCTTTCATCTGGTTTTTTGTTTTTGTTTTTTTGAGAAAAGGTCTCACTCTATTACCCAGGCTGGAGTGCGGTGGTGTGATCACGGCTCACTGCAGCCTTCACCTCTGGGGCTTAAGTGAATCCTCCCGCCTCAGCCTCCTTAGTAGGTGGGACCTACATGCCACTAAGCCTGGCTAATTTTTTTTTTTTTTTCGTAGAGACAGGGTCCTGCTATGTTGCCTGAGCTGGTCTTGAACTCCTAGGCACAAGCACAAGTGATCCTTCTGTCTTCGCGTCCCAAAGTTCTGGAATGACAAGTGTTAGCCACTGTGCCCAGCCTCATCTGTTATCGTTGTTGTTGTTGTTGTTATTATTATTATTGAGACAGAGTCTTACTCGGTTGCCCGGGTTGAAGTGCGGTGGCACAATCTCGGCTCACTGCAACTTCTACCTCTTGGGCTCAGATGATCCTCCCATCTCAGCCTCCCAAGTAGCTGAGACCACGGGTACACACTACCACATCCAGCTGATGTTTTTGTATATTTTTTTTAGAGATGGGGTTTTACCATGTTACTCAGGCTGGTCTCGAATTCCTGGGCCCAAGTGATCCACCCAACTTGACCTCCCAAAGTGCCAGGGTTACAGGCATGAGGCACCACAGCTCGCTTATCTGTTTAATTTATATAAAAAAAAATTTTTAGTACATTTTAATATAAAACTGTTAAATTTAATGAAAACCAGGCCAGGTGCAGTGGCTCATGCCTGTAATCCCAGCACTTTGGGAGGCTGAGGTTGGTGGATCACTTTAGGTCAGGAGTTCCAGCCAATGCGGTAAAACTCAGTCTCTACAAAAATACAGAAAAATTAGTCAGGTGTGGTGGCGCATGTCTGTAATCCCAGCTACTCGGGAGACTGAAACAGGAGAATTGCTTAAGCCCAGGAGGCAGAAGTTGCAGTGAGCCAAGATCATGCCATTGCACTCCAGCTTGGGTGACAGAGCGAGACTTCATCTCAAAAAAAAATTTTTTTTTAAATGAAAACCAATGCATTTTCATGGAAAGCACTGCTGGCTACCATCTCCAATCCTAGTTTTCTTTCTAGAGGTAATCAATTTGGTATATTTCCTTCTAAAACATTTGCTATTGTTTTATTTATTTATTTATTTATTTATTTATTTAATTTTTTTTTTTGAGACAGAGTTTCACTCTTGTTACCCAGGCTGGAGTGCAATGGCGCGATCTCGGCTCACCGCAACCTCCGCCTCCTGGGTTCAGGCAATTCTCCTGCCTCAGCCTCCTGAGTAGCTGGGATTACAGGCACGTGCCACCATGCCCAGCTAATTTTTTTTTGTATTTTTAGTAGAGATGGGGTTTCACCATGTTGACCAGGATGGTCTCGATCTCTTGACCTCGTGATCCACCCGCCTCGGCCTCCCAAAGTGCTGGGATTACAGGCTTGAGCCACCGCGCCCGGCCCTGCTATTGTTTTAAACACGTATATATGAATAGCTTCATGTTGTTTTTCTCCACATCGTTAGTGCGATCTTTTCCCAAACATAAATCTAATTGGGTTGCCACCCTGATTAAAACCCTTTAGAGACTGCCCGTTGTCAAATCAGCTTATGCTGCAGGGAATATGCACCCTGCATTAAGGCTGTGCAGACGCTTCCCCCAGAAAGTGAAATGCCTGCTGCCTGCACGCATAGCCATCTGCAGTTGCTACATGGTCTCAGCTGCGAGTAATGGCACATCCAACTTAACCACAGGGAAAGCTGTTATCTCATGCTGTAGGAAATCTGCAGTCAGCCGGCTGGAGGGTGGGAGTCCTTCAGGTGTGTCTTGTCTCTGAAGCCTTTGCTGACCGACACCTTCACCAGACAGAGCTGCCCCTTTATGATGTTGATCCACTGTATTTTTCTTATTTGTGAAACTGTCTCTCTATTAGACACAAAGCAAAGTGAGGGCAGTGATATTTTTTTTTTAATAAAAATTGCACAGTAAAGCATATCTGTCATTAATAATGCAAATGCTATGTTAATATGAGTTTTACGATAACCCAAGTGATTACTTTGGGACCCAGAAAAGATTATTCAGAGGCCGTTTTGGTTTTAGAATTAATATTCATTTTATTAGTCATAAATTAAAAACCGTAGTTCTTCCTCCAGTTTTTCGCTCAACTTAAAAATCTTATTCTATTTATAAATCCAGCATATTTTTGCAATCACCTTTAAGGAGGGTTTGATAATGTTTGGCCCCACTTACAAATTTTGTTATTAACTCCTTTTAAACATTTTAAACTGCATTTTGAAATTTAAGATATTCAGTTTCATTAAGTTTTTTAGCAGTCTGATTAACAAACAAATCCTTCATGGTACTTAAGTAATTACTGCAAATCTAGTAAATTAGACATAAATATGGTAAGTCTTAAGTTCTCTTAAGTGTTCTAATATTGTTTATAAACCTAATATGATTTCAATTTAAAATCACAAGTTTAAATAAACTATATATTTTAAATTAACATCACAAATGTAATCTGTTGGCAACGCTGGTATGTCAAATTCACTTAAACATTACAAATTCCTAAAAAATGAACAAATTCTCTTATCACAAATATGTTAATAATGCAGGTCTGACTGACTTTATCTTCTCTATATTCAACTCCAAGTATCTCCAGGGATAAGAAACATTTTCTCACTAAGGACTTCATTGTGTTATTTCAATATTTTGGGATTGCCTTCCCAGGTGAATTGTTGGGGCCACTTCTCAGTGGGATGAAGTTTCTCAAGTGACAGAGAACCGCAGAAGTCCTCAGCTGGGACACAGACTGGATGCCAGCCAGTTGGGATCCTGGTGTGACATACAGAGATACTGAGGCCTGTTTATCTTCACTGTGGCTAGGACTCCATAACCAAAAAAAAAAAAAAAAAAGAACCGTGCAGCCCGAGTTCCTGGTTTAAGTCTTGCTACCATCCATTTTTCATTTTAGTGGGAGTCAATGGACCTCCCCAACCCAAATATTACAACTTCCATCTTCGCTTCCACTGCTTCTGCATGCTTTGGCTCCCTTAGATACTTACATTTCATCTAAGTCTATGTATTTCAAGGCTTTGTCAGAATTATACAGCTCTAAGGTCTTGTCAATAACACAGTACGGAAGTATAAGAGCAAAAAATACCAGTTCCTCCTCACCCAAACCCCATCTCCAGAGGAACCATTGCTTACAGTTTGGACTCTATTCCTCCAGAATTTTTCTCACACACACACACACACACACACACACCCCCACACCCACACGCATGCACACACACACACACAATCAATTAGGATGATGCTATTGTTTTGCAATTTGCTTTTTTCACAAATTTGAGTCATTTTCCCGATGTACCTCATTCTTTCTGAAGGCAGCAGAATTTTTATTTTTATTTCATTTATTTATTTATTTATTTATTTAGAGATGGAGTTTTGCTCTTATTGTCCAGGCTAGAGTGCAACAGCGCAATCTTGGCTCACTGCAACCTCTGCCTCTCAGGTTCAAGTGATATTCCTACCTCAGCTTCCCAAGTAGCTGGGATTACAGGTGCCTGCCACCACACCCAGCTAATTTTTTGTATTTTCAGTAGAGACGGGATTTCACCATGTTGGCCAGGCTGGTCTCGAACTCCTGACCTTAGATGATCCATCTGCCTTGGCCTCCCAAAGTGCTGTGATTACAGGCATGAGCCACCACTCCTGGCTGATTCATTCCCTTTTATGGCTCAAAAATATTCCGCTATATGGATAGACCACATTTTGTGATGTTTTGGGGAGGTTTGAGCTGAGCTCAGACCTGCCCTGGGCCTCTCTGGGAAGCCAGGGAGACCTCAGCAGGTGTTGTCCCTCCCCGTCCTGTTTTGCAGTATTCCTGTGCACACGATATTTGACAGCTGCCCCGAAGGGAATGGTATCAGGGCAATGGCCATGGCCCACGATGCCAAGTATCTGGCAACCATCTCAGATGCTGAAGTCCAGGTAAAGGCCCTTTGGATCAGCCTCAGCGAGCTGGCCGATCTGTCCAGCATGTCCACGTGGGCATCTCTGTTCAGGCTGTGTGATGTTTGTGACACTCTCAAAAGACCAGACTCCACAGCACAGAGTCCGGGCCTCTGTCCTTAGTTACTTGAAGTTTCGGGGTCACAAAAGGTGTAGGTTACTTCAGCAGACTTCACAGACCTTCTCATGCCCGTCTCTCTGCTGTCCCCTTCAGAAGGTGTGCATCTGGAAGTGGACTTTGGCAGTGGAAACACCAGCATGTACTCTTGAACTCCCCAAAGAGTACGGTTTTCAGGTGAGTTCAATTTGAGCCTGTAAAGATCAACCTAAAGTTACATTGGTGCCAGCCCAGGCTGGGTGCGAAGGCTCACACCTGTAATTCCAGAACTTTGGGAGGCTATACTGGGTGGATCACTTGAGGTTGGGAGTTTGAGGCCAAACATACATAATCCTGATTTCCTGGGTCACTGCTCTCTGCCGTTGTGACTTGTCTCATTCATTCTTGCATGCTTCATCTGTCATACATTTATCGAGTGCCTGTTCTGTGCCAGGCACTGTGATAAGTACATACCTGGCTTGCAGGAGCAAACCAAAATAGAGGGTTTGAGTGACTAGACTCAGCCAGGCACATGTGGTTACGCAGCCTTACGTCCATCTTCTTTCCTTTCCCCGAAACATTTCTCTTGCCCCTGAAAAAATTTTCTTACTCCTTAAAGTTGTGCCAACACAGTAGCCACCAACCATATATGGCTATTTAGGACAGGTTTCTTTATTGCTGCAAAAAAACGCCTTTGGGGTTTTGATAGAGATTACATTGAATCTTAGATCACTTGGGGTGGTATCATCATCTTCACAAAATTGTCTTCCAATCCATGAGCATGGGATGCCTTGCCATTTATTTATATCTTCTTTAATTTCTTTCAGGAACGTTTTGTGATTTCCAGAGTTCATGTCTTCACCTCCTTGGTTAAATTTACTCCTAAGGATTTTTTGGTTTTTAATGCTATTATAAACGGATTTGTTTTCTTAATTTCCTTTTTAGATTGTTCACTGCTAATGTATAAAAAGGCAGCTGATTTTTGTGTGTTGATTTTGTACCTTGCAACCTTGCTGAGTACACATGGTGACCTAAATTTAAAATGATTAAAATGGAAAAAAAAATTGTTTTTTTGAGAGACAGGGTCTCACTGTTTTCCAGGCTAGAGTGCAGTGTCACAATCTCAGCTCACTGCAGCCTCTGCCTCCTGAGCTCAAGCAATCCTCCCACCTCAGCCTCCTGAGTAGCTGGGACTACAGGTGCACACTATCATGCCCAGTTAATTTTTAAATTTTTTACAGAGACCAGGTTTTTCCATGTTGGCCAAGCTGGTCTCCAGCTCCTAGGCTCAAGCCGTCTACCTGCCTCAGCCTCCCAAAATGTTGGGATTATAGGCATGAGCCACCACACCCAACCCTCTTCTTCTTCTTGCTCTGCCTTCTTCTTGGGTATTGGCATCTATTTCCAAGGCTGTTTACTTCCAAGAGGTATCCTGAAATCTTCCCTCTCCTCTCCACCTCTGTTGCCATGATCCTAGTCCAGGCCACAGTCACCCTTGCCTGCACCACCTGGCCAGCTGGTCTCTCTGCTTTCATTCTCACCTCACTCTCTAACAATCTTCTCGCAGCAGCCAAGAGTGTTATTTTTAAATAATTAAAATATTATATCACTCCCATACTTAGAATCCTTCAATAACTTCTCATTGTCCTCCGAATAAAATTAAAATTCCATAACATGGCCTCCAAGGTGTGATCTGATTCCTCCATCCACCTCCCAACACATACCATCCTGATTATTATTTATTAGTTTGCATTTTCTAGAATTTGCTAGGTAATAAATGGACTCCATTTGCAGAGAGCTTTGGTTTTTTTCACTCAGTTTTGTTGTTGCATGTGTCAGTAGTGTATTCCTTTTTATTGTTGAATAGTACTGCATTGAATAGGTACATCATAGTTTGTTTATGAATTCACTGTCAATGGATGTTGGGTTGTTTCCTGGTTGTGGCTTAAAAATAAAGCTGCTGTGAATGTTCATGGACAAGTGTTTATTTTTGAAGAATATTTTCCTTTGGTATAGAATTCTAGAGTGGTAGTATTTTAGTACTTCATATCTTCAAGGATTTGATTCTGTTGTCTTCTAATTTCTACCATTTATGTTGAAAAGTCAGCTGTCGCCAGGTGTGGTGGCTCACGCCCGTAATCCCAGCACTTTGGGAGGCCAAGGTGGGTGGATCACTTGAGGTCAGGAGTTCGAGACCAGCCTGGCCAACATGGTGAAAAACCATCTCTACTAAAGATAAAAAAATTAGCCGGGTGTGGTGGCACACACTTGTAATCCCAGCTACTCGGGAGGCTAAGGCAGGAGAATCGCTTGAACCCGGGAGGTGGAGGTTGCAATGAGCTGAGATCACACCATTGCACTCCAGCCTGGGCGACAGGGTGAAACTCCCTTTAAAAAAAAAAAAAAAGAAAAGTCAGTTGTCAATCCCTATTTTGAATGTTGTGTATCTCTCTCCTTGGCCCCCAGCAGCTTTTACAGCGTTTTCCTTGGTTTTCAGCAGGGATTTTTATTTATTTTTGTGAGACAGGGCCTCACTCTATCACCTAGGCTGAAGTGCAGCGGCACAGTCACAGCTCATTGCAGCCTCGACCTCTTAGGCTCAAGTGATTCTCCTACCTCAGCTTCCCAGATAGCACCACCACACCAGGCGCTTTTTTTTTTTTTGTAGAGATCGGGTCTTGCTATGTTGCCCAGGCTGGTCTCAAACTCCTGGGCTCAAGTGACCTTCCTACCTCAGTCTCCGAAGGTGCTGGGATTATAGGCATGAGCCACTGCTGCACCAGCCTCAGCAGTTTTTCAATGATGTGTCTGTGTGTATATGAGTATGTTGTTAATTTTTAAAAAGCGTATCCTTTAGGATTTCTTGAACCTGGGATGTTATATCTCTTCTCAGTTTTGGAAAATTCTCAGTCATTATCTCTTTACACATTTCTTCTGCCACATTTTCTTTGTTCTCCTTCTGGGGCTCCAATTACACATAAGTTAGACCTTTTTGGTCTTGTCCCACTGGTCTTTTCTTTCCTGTATTTTCTATGCTTTCATCTGTTTCTGCTTCAGTCTGGAAGCAGAAACTATATTATTTGTCTACTGTAATATGTCTTCCTTTCCTACTGACTAGTTCTAAATTTTTAGAACTGGTTGTGTCTAAATTTTTGTTAAACTGTCTATTGAGTTGAAAATTTTTAGAACTGGCTGTGTCTAAATTTTTGTTAAACTGTTGAGCATTTTAAATCATTTTTTCAGGTCTAGAGTCCCCATTTGATTCCTTTTTTAAGTAGAGTTATCTGCTGTGAGTCTCTGTCTTGTCCTCTACTTTCCTGCATGTTCATCTAGTGATTGTATGTCTGTGTCTAATAACCCAAATACTTGGATTTCCTGCGGGCTTCTTTCTACCAATTGCTTTTTCCCCTTGGTTTTCGGTCATTTGGATGTGTCTTTATTTTTTTTGAGAGGAGGTTTCGCTCTGTTGCCCTGGCTGGTCTTGAACTTCTGGCCTCAAGTGATCTTCCTGCCCCAGCTTTGCAAAGTGCTGGGATTCCAGGCGTGCACCGCAGCACCTGGCCTGGATGAATCTCTTTAATATGCCTGGCTGTTTTTTACTAAATGCCTGATGTTGTGTTTTTTAAAGTGTAGAAATAAATTTGAGGCTCGAGATGACTTCCTCCAAAGAAGACTTACTTGTGCTTCTTAAAGGCACCTGGCAGAGTGGTCAGCTTAATCTAATCAGAGGTGGTTTGAGGCTGGTTTTCAGGCTTCCTGAAGTCTGCCTCATGCACTTGCTTTTGCCAGTTCCTTGCCCTACCCAGGCTTTTGTGCTGTTCTGGTATTAATTCTCAAACACTGGCATTGGTAGTTTACACTCCTGTGGTATGTAACATTCATAAAATGTTTGGAAAATGATAGGTAAGGAATAGGTGTGGAGACGGGGTGGAAATGGCAGAAATGGAACTTCAAAAGCTTTTCTCCAGCTGGTCCCTCAATGCTGCCCCCGGTAGCCTTTCACTGCAGACTGTAGCCACCCACCTCCCTTGCACATTTCAAACACATGCCCCATGGCTCCCCAGGAAGAGCTTGCTTTGTTGTTCTTGCTATGATTGTCTGGTTTCTGTATTTAAAGTTTCCCTCACGTCCATAGTTTCTGAAGGGTTGCGTTTTGGGAAGGGAGCCAGCAGCTCATGCTATTCACCATCTTGGCAGGAATTAGAATCCCCTTTCAATATCTTGCGTTCATTCCAAGATATCGTGTGGCCCTGTCAAGTTTAGAAATGTATATGCAGCACTGTTTATCTAAAAGGACACAGAATAAAGGTTATTGGTAAATATGGGTTTACTTTTGCTTGTTCCAGTTTATTTTATTGTTATCTTATTTTAAATTGACCGCTGTCAGAAAAGCTTGTTACATCCAGGTGCAGTGGCCCACAGCTGTAATACCAGCACTATGGGAAGCCGAGGCAGGTGGATTGGTTGAGGTCGGGTTCGAGACCAGCCTGGCCAACATGATGAAACCCTGTCTCTACAAAAAATACAAAAATTAGCCAGGCGTGGCGGCACACGCTTGTAGTCCCAGCTACTAAGGAGGCTGAGGCAAGAGAATTGCTTGAACCCAAAAGGCAGGGGCTGCAGTGAGCTGAGATTGTACCACTGCACTCCAGCCTGGGTGACAGAGCGAGACTCTGTCTTAAAAAAAAAAAAAAGGAAATAAAAGCTTGTTCCAATTTATAGATGATGAATTGTAATAGATAAGACTGGAAAAGAAACACATTTGACACTATTTATTTTAATCACCAGTATTTAAATGCTATTCCTATTTTTTATCAAATGCCGTATCTTTCGTTTTATATTCCTACTCATTTGTTTTAATTAAAATTATTTAATTTTAATATTCAGCTTAATCAGAAACAGAAAATTTATCATTAATATATTTCCATATTTTATATTTCAGAACTACCTCACTTTTAACCCAACAAACAATAAAGAATTGGTGAGCAATAGTAAAACACAGGCAATATATTATGCATGGGTAAGTAGAAATATTTTGATTTGTTTTAAATGTGGGTACAAGTATGTATTCATTCTTCAAGTACAAATGTTTCAGTAATGTAACAAGATAGTATCTCTACTTAGGAAGCAATGAATATATATTAAAATGTTTTTATTTAATTATAGTATTTATTTAATCCCATTGGAAATTAGCATATTAAATCAGAAGCAAATAATTTAATTTTATTTATTTCATTTTATTAAAGAAATTAGGCAAATGTTTATTTGAATTTATTTAACAAGACTGAAATACAAGTTTTGTGGTTTTTTTGGAAACGAGGTCTTGCTGTGTTACCCAGGCTGGTCTTGAATTCCTGGGCTCAAGTGATCCTCCCACTTCATCCTCGTAAGTAGCTGGGATTACAGGGGTGAGCTGCCACACCTGGCTCTAAAATATAGGTGGTTTTTTTTTTTGAAACCTAGGACTTTATTCCTTTTAGAAAGGTATTAGCAAACAGATTAATGATATGTATATTGACACGGGGCAAAATCATGAGAATAAAAAACATTGAGGCTGGGCACAATGGCTCATGACTATAATCCCAGCACCATGGGAGACCAAGGCAAGAGGATCACTTGAGGCCAGGAGTTCAAGACTAGCCTTCACAATATAATAAGACCTCATTAAAAAAAAAAAAAAATATATATATATATATAAAATAAGACCTCATCTCTACAAAAAGAAAAAAATTAACAGGGCATGGTGATGCATGCCTGTAGTCCCGGCTCCTCAGGGGGCTGAGGCTGGAGGACTCCTTGAGCCCAGGAGTTTGAGGCTGCAGAGAGCTGTGATGGTGCCACTGCACCCCAGCCTGGGCAACAGAGTGAGACTCTGTCTCAACAAAACAAAACACAAGAAAACAAAGAACATTCCAAGTTAAACATGGAATTGCTATGTGACTCAGCAATTCCAGGGTAAGATGTGAAAGAATTGAAAAGAAGCATTCAAACAAATACTTCTACACAAATGTTCACAGCAGCAGCAGCACTATTTGTAATAACGAAAAGGTAGAAACAAACCAAATGTTCATCATCTGATGATTATGTAAACAAAATGTGGTCTATTCATACAATGGAATGTTATTGTTTGAAGTACTGATACATGCTGTGACATGGACTAGCCTTGAAACCATGATGCTCAATGAAAGATGCCAGACATGAAAGTCACATGTTGTATGATGCCATTCCTATGGAATGTCCAGCATAGGCAAGTCCACAGATACAGAGTAAACTGGTGGTTTTCAAGGCCTGGGGAGAGACAGAGTGGCTGCTTAATGGGTATGAGATTTCCTTTTGGGATTATAAAAATATCTTGGATCGGCCGGGTACAGTGGCTCACGCCTGTAATCCCAGCACTTTGGGAGGCTGAGGTGGGTGGATCACAAGGTCAAGAGATCGAGACCATCCTGGCCAACATGGTAAAACCCTGTCACTACTAAAAATACAAAAATTAGCTGGGTGTGGTGGTGTGCGCCTGTAGTCCCAGCTACTTGGTAGGCTGAGGCAGGAGAATTGCTTGAACCTGAGAGGCGGAAGTTGCAGTGACATGAGATCATGCTATTGCACTCTGGCCAGGCAACAGAGTGAAACTCTATCTTAAAAAAAAAAAAAGAAAGAAAATGTCTTGGATCTAGAAGGTTACTCAGCATTGTGAATGTATGAAACACCACTGAATTGTACACTTTAACATGGTTATGATTAATTTTATGTTAAGTGAATTTTACCTAAATAAAAAATTGTAAAGCAAAACTAAAACACATTGAATCACTGATTGTCGGTGATAGTTATTATTTAAGATATTTATTATAGCTTTATTTTATTTTATTTTTGAGATGGAGTCTCACTCTGTCACCCAAGCTGCAGTGCAGTGGTATGATCTCAGCTCACTGCAACCTCCACCTCCATGGTTCAAACAATTCTCCTGCCTCAGCCTCCCGAGTAGCTGGGATTACAGGCGCCTGCCATCACGCCTGGCTAATTTTTGTATTTTTAGTAGAGATGAGGTTTCTCCATGTTGGCCACGCTGGTCTCAAACTCCTGACCTCAAGTGATCTACCTGCCTTGCCCTCCCAAAGTGCAAGTGGTATTACAGGTGTGAGCCAACACACCTGGCCAATTGTGACTTTACATGGTACTTAATGCAAATTCGAATTCTGTGTCTTTAAAACTTTAACAAATACCTTAAGGCCAGGCGTGGTGGCTCCTGCATGTAATCCCAACCGTTTGGGAGGCCAAGGGGGATGAATCACCTGAGATCAGGAGTTCAAGACCAGCCTGGCCAACATGAAAAAAAACCCCATCTCTACTGAAAAAAAAAAAAAAAAAATTAGCCAGGTATGGTGGTGTATGCCTATAATCCTAGCTACTTAGGAGGCTGCCTCAGGAGAATCACTTGAACCTGGGAGGCAGAGGTTGCAGTGAGCTGAGATCACACCACTGCACTCTAGGCTGGGTGATAGATATGTTTCTGTTTAAAGACACCTTGTTTAATATATAACTCCATCTAAAAAAAAGTAATAATCATTTGTGGCATTTGTTATACTTTTTATATGTTTGCTTTTCTTTCAGAATGTTTTTAGATATTTTCCAAGGCAGCAAGTTCTCTTACCCATAGAAATTGCAAATTTCTGACCTTGTTGAGGTGTATTTGTTTTGTTTTTATTATTAATATAGTTATTTCTTTGGAAACTGGTCTTTTTGACTAGTGATTTTTTTTTTTTTTGTCTTATCAGTATGAAGAGAGAGACACACTGGCTCACAGTGCCCCACTTTTAACAGAAAAAGTAAGTATGCCTATTGGATTTTCATCCATCAGATTTTGTGGAGCATAAATGTTTATGTGTGAGCTTAGCTGCTTTGGGCTATTCTTTGTACATCTTGATATTAAGCTATTGGGAAATAATTTGAAAATTTTTACTTACGTCTTGTATTCATGTTGAATTGTCAGCTGAAAATGATGGAAGTATTGTTAAAAATAAAATGTTATAGGCCGGGTACGGTGGCTCACACCTGTAATCCCAGCACTTTGGGAGGCCGAGGCGGGTGGATCACGAGGTCAAGAGATCGAGACCATCCTGGTCAACATGGTGAAACCCCGTCTCTACTAAAAAATACAAAAATTCAGCTGGGCATGGTGGCACGTGCCTGTAATCCCAGCTACTCAGGAGGCTGAGGCAGGAGAATTGCCTGAACCCAGGAGGCAGAGGTTGCGGTGAGCCGAGATCGGGCCATTGCACTCCAGCCTGGGTAACAAGAGTGAAACTCCGTCTCAAAAAAAATAAAATAAATAAATAAATAAATAAAAATAAAATGTTATAAAAAGAGTTACTGCCATGAGAAAATATAAAAAAGTGATGGCTTTTATAATGTATTTGTGCATATCGACAAAGAATGAAAGTTGTTGGGGTGCAGTGGCTCTCACCTGTAATCCCAGCACTTTGGGAGACTGAGGTGGGAGGACCACTGAAACTCAGGGGTTTGAGACCAGCCTGGGCAACACAGGCTAGACTTCGTTTCTACTATTTAAAAAAAAAAAAAAAGAATTGCCAGGCAAGATGACTTGAGGCTGTAGTCTCAGCAACTTGGGAGTTTGAGATGGGAGGATCACTTGAGCCCACATGGTCAAGGCTGCAGTGAGCTATGTTCATGCCACTGCATTCCAGCCCAGGCAACAGAGCAGGGGGAATAAAAAGAATGAAACAGTATAAGTAGAGGGGTTGAACGTGAGTGGAACCCTTATAAAGCTGCTCAGTTTCAGGATAATAAATGACATTAAGTATTTAGATGTTTAAGAGCCAGTAGAAAGGAGGTGAAGCAGATGCTGAGGAAACATTTCATCTTGCCTGCTTTCTGCAAGCCCTGTGTCTGAGGTGAAACTTGAGGTGTCTCATGTAGCACTTGCTGCATTTACTACCCATGTAACCCGCGCTCAGTGAGCACCTGATGATGAGTTTTCTGTATAGTTGCTTCTCTCTCGATATGACTTGTAGAGATTTCTTTTCTTTTTTTTTTTTTTTTTTAAAAGGTGGAGTTTCACCATGTTGGTCAGGCTGCTCTTGAACTCCTGACCTCAGGTGATCCACCCGCCTTGGCCTCCAAAATGCTTGGATTACATGTGCCACCACGCCCAGCAGGCCAGAAGACACGAACAAAAAATAAAAAGTTGAGATGGATGGGCACAAGGAGATGATTCAGTCTGCAAACTTGTTTTTCATAAATGAAAGTACTAAAAAATACAGTCAACTCTCATTATTGTTGGTAGTTATGTTCTATAAAGTCTCTGCAAACACCGAATTAGCAGATACTGATCTATTGCTCCTAAGGGAAATATAGGAGTAAGTTTCTATGAGCCTCTGGTCACATTTTCACCAACTGATCAATACATAACCTTGTTTGATGTGTATTTCTGTTGAAAGACACGACTTTATTTAATATATAACATTGATTCATTAACGTTGTGCTCATGGCCAACAGCGCTGTAACTCGTGACTTGAACAAAACTCATCCAACCCACATACTTTCTCCATAAGGCACATCACAGCATTCTTTTGCTTAGGAACACTAGACAGCACTTCAGCACTATGTTTGGAGGTCAATTTAAATACCGAAATCACCAAGAAAAAGCACCCCAAAATGCAAACAACATGTCATTAAATAGACATGAAAGGGATACTTGTGGCCGGGCGCAGTGATTTATGCCTGTAATCCCAGCATTTTGGGAGGCCGAGGACGGCGGATCACCTGTCAGGAGTTCGAGACCAGCCTGGTCAACATGGTGAAACCCCGTCTCTACTAAAAATACAAAACTTAGCTGGGCATGATGGCAGATGCCTATAGCCCCAGCTACTCAGGAGGCTGAGGCACAAGAATCACTTGAACACAGAAGGTGGAGGTTGCAGTGAGCTGAGATCCCACCAGTGGACTCCAGCCTGGATGAAAGAGTAAGACTGTCTTAACAAAAAAAAAAAAAAAAAGAAAAGGACACTTGTTTATAGTCAGAGCTGAGACAAGAAGGCAGAGCATTGCCCTGTTTGACCTCAACTGGAAATGTGCATGTTGGGTGAGTAAAATTATTTGTCACACTGCACATGCACTTCTGTAGATGACCAAGAGAGAGCTGCAAATATTGATTTTGGGATTACAAATCAATTCTTACAAGTAGGCAAATTCACAAATACAGAATCTACAAATCACGAGCCATTTGAAATGATAAAAATGCATTGTGTTGAAACAGTGCTGCTCTTAGAAAGAACTTGGTGCTCTTGATTGACTAATTATTATTTTACTATTCTTCTATGTTCAAGTCAGAAGAGGCAAACCTTAGGATCTTCTCTGTGCTATTAGAGAATGGGGCAGCATAAGGAATAGGGTGTTTCTGTGTATAGTGCTTAAATATCTTTTACTGATGGGAAAATACCTTATGATCAAGGGAGACTGGGAGAATTATTTTATGCTATTTTATAACCAGAGCATGCTTTGGCTCACAACAGGCATCAGTTTCTTTACCAGTCTCTGAAACCTCCATAAGAGAAATTTAACAGGTATAAACTGTGATTAACCACACCCTCATTCACTTTAAATAAACAGTGTAATTGAGGCCGGGCGCGGTGGCTCAAGCCTGTAATCCCAGCACTTTGGGAGGCCGAGGCGGGTGGATCACGAGGTCAAGAGATCGAGACCATCCTGGTCAACAAGGTGAAACCCCGTCTCTACTAAAAATACGAAAAATTAGCTGGGCATGGTGGTGCGTGCCTGTAATCCCAGCGACTCAGGAGGCTGGGGCAGGAGAATTGCCTGAACCCGGGAGGCGGAGGTTGCGGTAAGCCGAGATCGCGCCATTGCACTCCAGCCTGGGTAACAAGAGCGAAACTCCGTCTCAAAAAAAAAAAAACAAAAAAAAACCAGTGTAATTGAATAGAGTACATAACCCTTCACTTGCTCTTAGCAGAGCTTCAGAGGTTCATAAATGCCTGGACCATGGCAATCTGTGGGAAAGGGTTTTTAGTGATTGTTTTCTTTTTTTCTCTCTTTTTCTCACTATATTTCAGCATAACATTATAAAATATCGTGTTGATAAATCCTTTGTTTTATATTTATTACCAACAGTAACTATAACCTTTCTTTTGAAACATAGACTTTCAACAAGCTTGTGGGAAAGTTTAGCCAGTCCATCTTCCACTTGAATTTAACACAAATACTGTCAGCCACGATGGAAGGGAAGCTGGTTGTCTGGGATATACACCGCCCACCGTCATCTGCCTCCACCTTTTTGGGCTTTCCCTATATCAAGCCTTGTAAATTGGTTCATTTGCAGAAAGAGAGTATCACTGTGCTTACTACAATTGATAGGTAATTTTATTAAAAGGTAGCTATGAATGGTTATAAAAATATTTTAAAATTGTTTTGGGAGGTTGGGCATAGTGGCTTATACCTCTAATTTCAGTTCCTTGGGAGGCTGAGGTGGGAGGATCACATGAGTCCAGAATTTCGAGACCAGCCTCGGCAACATAGTGAGACTCCCCATCTCTACCAAAAAACAAGAGAGAGATGGGAGGGTGGCTTGAGCCCAGGAGTTTGAGGCTGCGATGAGCTATGATTGCCACTGCACTCTAGATGGGGTGTCAGAGTGAGACCCTCCTGTCTTAAAAAAACAAAAACAAAAAAAAACTCTTTTGGATGTATATACATATTTTGTATATGCATAGAGTATTCTGGGGATAGTCATAATGAACTGGGAACATTGGTTGCCTCTGAGGATAAGAACTGAGAACTAAGATCAGGAATGGGGGTGGATTTACTTCTTTTTATAGTTCCATTTATACTAATTGGATTTTTAAAAAAATCATGAGCATGCATTATGTTAAAAAAAATCCCTTTGTGTTGGTGAAACAAAAAGGAACTAGATTTTTTTTCTTCTGTGCTAATTGGATGGATTTTGCACCCAACATTTTACATGCGTTAAATTTAAGAAAATAAAATAATTTGAATAGCTATATTGTATTGTCTGATTACAAAGTAACATATACAGCAGAGAGTGGTGACTCGTGTCTGTAATCCCAGCACTTTGCGAGGCTGAGGCAGGTGGGTCACGAGGTCAAGAGATCAAGACCGTCTTGGCCAACATGGTGAAACCCTGTCTCTA